TCACAATGGTTGTCGAGCTTCATAGGGCGCCGAGGCCGACGGTCTCTTACTATTCTATCGACACCCTAGCTATCGATTAGTATACCAATAGCTCGCTTTAATAATAGATGTCAATATGTTAAGATTCTGGATCTAATGTGTATGTGCCACAGTCATTATGGGGAGGCCGATGAAGAGGATACCGGATCATGCTGGCTTGTATTGTTCGCGGTCACACCAGTCTTTGCTTGTCTTGACATGAGGCCGACTTACTATATTTGCTATAATTATAGTGGTATTCTCTATTGAGCCGCTAAATATCATGGCACACATTGTTTTGTACATTACATAATATATTAATGAGACTATTATATACAATAGTCAATATAGTCATTGCAATCAATGCAACACATCGTTTGATGGTTTCTATAGCCTCAATAGTTTACATAGCTTTACACCGCGCTAATACAGTCCTTCGAGATTAACACGGTTTAAAATGCCTACGTACTAGGTACCTTAGGTGTATGAGTGCTATATGCCCTATGAACATAGAGCAGCGACCTTGGTACTTAAGCTGGTAGGTGCCAGTGCCACGACCCACTTTTAGATACACTTATCATAGGGCTTGCCGTTTTGTATTCTTCACCAGAGAATAGACCCGATCCCACCTCGAGATATTGAACAAAGTAGCATGCCACGGAAATTCGGATAGGTGTGATAGAGGTAGCTTTCATATCGAAGCGCAGGGGTTCAAAGGCCGCGACCTTCATATTTATACCTGACTTTCTTACTTACTCATCGCTCGAAGAACCGCAAAGTTTACGAAACCACCGTCTCTCGCAAAGTACGTCCCGTCTACGAAGAGGTGGCTAAGAACGTCATGGCGCCCGACAGCCAAAATGATAAGTGGGATGGCCCAGACTGGGATGACATGACAGATGAGCATCTTGCGAGCAGCGGGCATGGACCCGAGGGCGTTGAGAGTCCTAAATCGTCGTGTCTAGAGAATCTGCCTGCAGAGCTCAGAGCGCTAATCTTCTTGAGCGCGCCGGATCTGCCGACGCTTCGATCGCTCGTCCGTGCCTCCCCCGTTCTACACGCCCAATACAGACACGATAGAAACAGAATTCTTCGCGCATGCTTAAGCCGCGAATTAGATGGTTTTCTCATCGATGCTTACGCCACTGCCATGTCTTGGGTACAAGGGTTTGTGCCCAGAACTGACAAGACTATTACCAACTATCTCAATACCTATGGAGTGTGGCTCTCAAGCTCAACCCCCTTCCCAGACATAAATTCCGTTGATCCCGACCGTATTCGTTGGATGGCAGCCTACCACATATCCGTTGCCCGACCCCTGGCCCGCCTGTATAGCCACTGGACTCTCACAAACCTCAAAAAAGCCATCGTATTATCATCAATCCCGCAAGGAACAGCGCCAATGGAAGTAGACAAATTAGTAGAAGAAGGACTAGCTGCACAAGGCGACCACCCTTCCAAACTAAGTAGAAGCGAAGAAATACGCCTTTTTCGTGCTCTTTACCGATATGGAACCTACCACCACCTCTTCGGCGAACACCAGGGCCAGCGCCGGGGCGGGCTCGGCCAGGATGAGATTCAGGAGTTATTCTTCTGTCTTTTCAACCCTTGGGAGGCTGAGGCCGTCGGATGCATAGACACCTTTGTTGGACTTAGGTACGAAAATCTCTTCAATCAGGTCAAGGCAGATTTGCACCCAAAAAACCCCAAGTTTAGGCAGGAGAATGGAGTCTATAACCCCGAAGGCTCTTACGATCTAGAAATGGAGTACGACGGCGAGTATTCATGCCCACCCTTTTACACTTCAAGAGTGACTTGAACGTGCGGTATTTGGAGAAGTATGGCTAACCAGATGATGAATAGACTATCTGTACGGCACCATGGGCTGCGGCCTGAAGATGACGGCACGGCTGTTGATGATCGACGACCACGAGAAGCTCGTTTCTGAAATGCAGCGATGTCTTACCCACTTTCAGGTGCTAGATGGCCCTATGCGGGAAGTGCTTGGGTCTATGGCACAGTACGACCGACGTCAGATGTCAACCAACTTTCCCAACGCGCGGGACGAGGCCGAGCTGAGGCGGGACCCGATCCATTTCGTCGGAGACACCGTGCCGCCTGATGGCCCGCCATCCGCGTGGGTTGTTCTATGGGGTGGGAACTATTCCAATATCTACGGAGAATACGTACCGCAGTCAGTGAAGCAATGGGGTTATGTTATGTGGGACAAGCGCCGATGGATCGGCATGGGGGCTGAGGAGGATCTTATCGTCGGGCAGTGGAAGACGTCGCCAGAACTGGTGAAGGAGATTAAAAGGGACTATAACTGGAGCCCCATGTAACGTTACTAGAAGCATCTGAATACAAGCGTGATGTGTTAGATATTGTGTATGACCTGCACTCTGGTTTATGACAGTTTTGTTTGCTTCGAACGCAGCAAGCCTAATTACACCCAAGCAGCAGAAGCAGACCGGAGGAGGCTAGTCCGGAATCAACCGTCCCGGCAACGAGGAGAGACTGGTCATGGGGCTACGGCATAAGGCCGAGAGTCCTAATCTCACAACACCCACGAGCTGCAGTGGCTATGTTAAATCACCGCTGTATCAAGAATATTCGATCTAAATTTGGTCTTTCGGTTAATCACTCACTCGAATGATGAAATAACCTCTGCAGTAGTAGAATTTTCTGCCAGCGTGATGGTGCGGTAGATAGCAGGATCCACGGGTTGTACCATGTATAACGGTTGCTCTCCTGCGAGGCGGACCGACGCTTCGTAATTAACATCACTCTATATCAGCTCGAAAAGCTTCAACTCTGGTCCTGTAGCCGCGAATTCTCCGTCCATTATGGTATGAACATATGCATCGCCGACATATGAGTGAAACTGGTCGCTTTCGGGTCGCAAGATGATGGGCGAACGGTTACCGTGCAGTACCGTGACTATATCGCCAGCCAACATGACCTCCGGCCCTAATCCGATCTTTCCTGTGCTTGTTTTGAATAGTGTTCTGAATCGACAGTACTCCTCCATCATACTAAGACAGAATTTATCGAAGCCATTTGGGTGAAACCTTTTGATAAACTCTAGCTGATCCGGGGTTAGTTCTTCAACATCCAGGGGAGCGCCCCGAAAGACTCGAGGGGCAAGATCTTGCCAAATTGATGTTGTGCGTTCTCCCCGGCGCTGTTGATCCAATACCACTGTGCGCCAGACTGTGACCTCGTCAGGTTTCCCCAAAGCGTCCGAGTGAAAGAATTCAACGATTTCCGATAACCAACGGGTCTGGTTGTCTGGAGATAAAAATGGTGGGGAATAGGGATCGGAGACCTCCCATTTAGCTGGCTTCATGACAGCCGTCACAACATCAACATACCAGCCGCAAGTGCGTAGTATTTCCCAGACTCCTCGGTCAGCATCATTCGGAGGGTCTAATAAACCATGATCCGCCGCGAAGGACGTCGTCTGGTTGATAGGGTAAAAGCCAACGCCAAACTCTCCTAAACGCTTCCAGTCCGGCACCCACGAAGGCAGTCCCGGCATATATTTTAGAAAAGTGCAATATCCCAATTGATACCTCCTACGTTGTCTTATGAGAGCCTTTGTGGTCTCGGCGAAAACTTGGTTGACAGGTTTGCTGTAGTCTGCCTGTAAGCCGAGACTCTCTGCATCGGCCGCGCAACCTAAAACACCAAAGATAATGTCTCGGGGATCAGACGCCGCGTGGAGTGGTCTTCCGGGGCACCTGCTATATACCGAGATGATATCGCATAAGTCCGGTCGTTCGCCAAAGGTTATTGCTTGGCGAACTCTGAGGGGTTTCGAATTCATGTAAGTCCAGTTGAACGGGAAGAAAAAGTTATCGGCCCAGGACGGTATTCTCAGCGACAAGTCCTGATTATACGAGGCCGCGAGAGTTATCGCTTTGGTTGCTATATCGAACACATATGCATCTAAACTGTTTTGCCCGCAAAGAAACTGGCACTGTTTCGCGAGCGAGAACTCCTGTATGATCCATACTCGAGAAAAAAAAGGCCGGTGGAGGAGATTCTCTAGAACTAGCGCCCCCTGGCTATGGCTTCTGCCTTTCGGCAGTAACTCTTCATAATCCATTAGTCTATTACAGAGGCTAAGGAGTGCTTCCTCGTCTTCGGGCGTGGAAAATCTCATCACAGCCGCGCTACCCAGCCCTCCCCTGAGCAGGTTAATGCCATCCGTTGTCAATCCAGAATCCTCGACCTCTTGTGCAACTCTCTTCAGCATATGGAAAGCAGCGTCACTACCATCGGCGGCAGGGCCGAGCCAACAATAAACCAGGTCAGCCAGCGAAAAGATACTGCGCATCTCGTTCACTTGCCAGCTCCTCTCGGTGTCATCTTTTTGGTCGATGCAAATCGCGTCAATCCAAATCCAGCCGTCCAATACCCTCTTGCGCAATTGAAGTAGTGCATTATGAAGATTTCTCCGCGCCGTCGTGGGTATTGCATTCACAAGAATAGTATCCTCATCTTCCTCGTCCCCCCAAGTGTAAGAAAGCGCGGTAAAAGCCGGTGGGCTGTTCAACGAGGCATGCTCGAGAGTGACCTCGATGGGGTCGTCGTCATGTTCGCTGTGAGGGGCTGGTTTGATCCTTGCCAGCCTAAACTCCCTCTTTCCTCTGTCCAATGGCTGATAAACGGCGGGGTTCATCGTTCAAGATGATGAGGATCTTGTGGAATACCGTCGGATCAGATCATTTGCAATGGACGCGAGGACATATAGGTATATTTAGAAACCTAGACGCTTGAGGAAGTAGAAATCGAGACCATGACGGTCTATCAGACATGAGCATATATCCCCGCGGGGTGCGATGATTGGCTAAGACTACTACTACTCTACTACTACTTGTTGCCGAATAACCTTTTATGAGCGGATAGAGTAAAACTGAATGAGCTGAATGGATTTAACCGCAAAAAAGAGAAAGGGGGAAAATAGAAAAAAGAAACTCTCGATCGGGGAATCGAACCCCGGCCACCTGCGGTTTGTCAGATATCTTCCAGGTTTTCCTGCAGGAAAAGCCCTGGTCGCAAGCGATGACAAGCAGGTATCCTGACCACTAGACCAATCGAGAATGTGATGCATGACTAAGCTATCTCAATTAAGATTTATTACCAGGGTGTTCTTTGCGTGGAACAGCTTCGAAAAGATTACTACTTAATATTTAGCGAATACTGTAATTTAATAGGTAGATCAAGAGAAGACGCAAGTAGAACAAGCTGGGAACTAATCATGCATAGCTGAGGTATTATGATCGCCGAGGAATAGGGTTGTTGTTATCTTCCCATACTTGATTAATGTTCGCTAAGAGATCCTAAACATTGAGAGCAATTTCAATTGATTTCGCACAGCCGTTAGTAAGCTATGCATTAGCCAGCAAGGTCGCACTCAATCGTGCTTCTATCTACCTACAGCTAGCCATTTCATTCGGTGCCGGCCCGGATTACGCCCCCTTTACAATATACCTGTTCGCTGTACTGTAATTCGGTTCAAGTTTCCCAGTTGACGAGGCGCACGCATATGTCAAGTGCCTATTGAGGTATCACTTAAAACCAGGTAGCAACCCCAAATTCTGACCATAAACTTCAAACACAACGCCTAGGCGAAACACTTATTTTGGCGGTAATACTATAGATAAACTCTTGGCACACCAATCCTACCCATGTAATTAATCACCTATTATTGTGCTTCTAATGATAGTGCGATCGAGACCACTGGCATGGCTTCCGCTCGCATCTTCTTAACCCCCCCCTCATGTATAGTTAGTTGGAATGGCAGTCAGTCAAGCGGCACGGACAGGTCTGTTCCTGCAGCGCGCATTCTTGTGTCAATCGTGGGCCGCGTTGCCTCCATCTGATTTGTCAAGTCAGGCTTGGTTTCTTAGTGTAATGGTTATCACAGCAGATTCTGATTCCGCTAATCTGGGTTCGATTTACAGGGAGACCTACATCATCATTTCCACGAACAGACCAGCATTGTGCTGGTTAGTACCATAAATCCCTTTACGGTTAATGAGAAACATTGTTTTTTGGGGATTGATTTTTTTGACCTGATGATTACGTCCATTCTTGGCATTGGACCAACAAACCGACGCGTATAGTGCTCAAAGACACGATACGTGGCGGCGGGTGTAATGCTAAACGAAGAGAATCAATTTATGAGACTGATTCAACCGTACCGTGTCACAAGCAGGGAGAATAGGCGGAGAGGGATAAAGCACACGTCTCGAGGTCGTCGCACATTGTGCACCTAGCTAGAATCAAGACAGATATGAAGCGAGAAGGTGACGCGATAGAGATACTCTTATCGCTTTTGCCAAGCGAAGAAAGCCTGGTCGCGAGTCGTTTGGCCCGTCAAGATTTGCTCCCTGGTTTATAGCAGTAGTTGTAGTCGAAGGTTACGCTTATCCTTACTAATATTGTGCGCGGGCGGCAAATCAGCCGGACCGGCTATGGTGACACGGCACGGACTTTTTTTGCTGGGGGGCCGAAGAGTGAGGAGAGTCCCTGCTCTTGAGGAATCGGTTGGGTGAGGCGAACAGTTCGCTCTGACTCCGTTGCTTGGAGCAGCATCTACCAGCGTGCATACGACCCCGAACCCCCACAACCAGCACAGCGCATACATACATACGCAGGTCAGACCAGGTCGGTTCAGGCATCGGCTGCCTAATGCTTTGAATATAAGCAACGTTTCTAGCCCTCTGGATTAGCTTGACTTGATCATTTACATTTCGTGTGGTGTTGCATTACCACAGGTAGGGTGGTAGTGACCTTAAGATAGGCATGATTTGCGGATCAATAGCGTCATTCATGATTCGCCGCCATGAGTCCACTCCATGACAGGATCCCGTCAGTCGGTCTTCATGTACTCTATGAGCCGGAAAAGAGCGACAACACGCTTGTTGAGTAGGTATTTTCTCTTTTCTATTCTGGTACGCTCCAGCGACGCGCAAACTCATCATCCCTTTTCAGCATTGTCTTCATCCATGGTTTCGGAGGACATCCGATGAGAAGTTGGCAGTACGATGGCCGAATAACACCTATTACTCGGGCAAGGGCCGATTCGCACCCGCGCAATGGGCCGCTGCTACGTCTACTCAAAAGAAAGGGGTCTTCGGATCAGACGAATCAGTCGACTATAGGGGCTACGATCACTCGAAGTAATACGTGGCATTCCGAGTCAAATGCGCCACTCCGGCTTTTCTGGCCTCGAGACTTATTGCCTACGGCATGCCCAGAGGCCCGTATCATTTTATGGGGATATCACACCCTGCACAGCGGCAATATGCCGATAGTATCTCAGTCCGATATCTTTTCTCACGTAGAAGACCTCGTCCGGAAACTCGGAGACCTTCGGCGTGGTATTGGCGTGCAACAAAGGCCGTTGATCTTTATCGCGCATTCTCTAGGAGGTATCGTGGTCAAGGAGGTGGGTTTTGAACACAGGGTGGTATGTGGAAATACTTATCAAGTATAGATATTTCGCCAGGCCGAGTTTAGCGACACAAAAAGCGACCAAGATATTCTGAGCTCTACAGCCGCAACCATTTTCTTCGGTTGCCCGCACCGGGGTGTAGAACAAGAACCGCTCATGGATACAGTGGTATCCATGGCAGAGGCATCGTCGAGCATTCAGACAGAAAATTCGGTACTCTCTGCCCTGTGTGGCGTTAACAATCCTAGATGGGCCGAAGCCCAGGAGTCGTTTGTTCGGATATGGAACCATTTTAACTTTATGGTTAAGACGTACCAGGAAAGACAGGGTGATGAAAACGGGCTAATCGTGGGTTTCGCCCCGTTTCGACTTTGCGGTCGGCAACAAGCTCACTTATCTGCGTAGAATAACCGTTCTCAGTCGAGTAAGCTTGGTGACGCGAGAGAAGATGCGGAGAGCTTACCTGCGGACCATCGTACAATGTGTCAGTTCAAGTCAGTGAATGACATAGGGTTCATCTCGCTTTCAAAGATCCTGCAAGAGATTGTGAAGGATGAAAAATCCAAGGTAGTAATCGTCGTCGATTCTGAGTTAGAGCATATGGCTAATTAGGAACGATAGCGCCGAGGGCTCACTGCCGAAGAGACAAGTATGGAAATATGCTGTTCCTCTTCTCTATAGGCAAGCTAACAAACACTAGAGTGCTTGCAGCGATTCACTAGTCACCGAGTCCACGGTTCCCGGTCATCCGCCCCAGGGAGTTCCCTAGGCACGTGCAGGTCAATATGTAACACGGTGGAGTTTTGTGATTGGTATCGTCGCCAAGGAGGTAGTAACGAACACATATTCTGGCTGACAGGTGCGCCAGGCTCAGGAAAGTCGACACAGTTGCGGCATTTTCGGTACCGAATTGAAAAGCAATGGAACTCTGCTACGACGTCGATTATATACTGCCTAGCAGAAAGTCGGAGTCTCGGCCAAGTTCCGGTGCCGGATTCGAAGCTGGGGAAAATGCGATCCGTCACGGCGATACGCTCTATTCTCTCTCAACTCTTCGCGCAAGACCTGGATCTGCGCCAAAGAATCTTCAGTTTGTGCGGTGATACCGTCAATGATGCTGATTTAACTCAGTTTTTCCTCGACGACTACATTGCAAACAAGCCCCGGACATTAGCTAGAAGGACTTTTATCCTGGTCGATGCCGAAGATAGCTGTGACGATGTTTATATCCGGGAATTACTGTATTGCCTCTCTCAAATGGCACGTAACTCCAACTTCAGTGTGTGCCTAGCTAGCCGACTCATCAGCGGCCTCGTTCCACCGAATATAACCCAATTAGAACTCGAAAAGCATAACTTTGAAGATATCTCACGGCTAGTACAATACCGTCTGAGAGCAAGCCGAGAAGAGCTGTCTGTTACCGTACAAAAGATTGCCGAGAAGGCCGGGGGAAGTTTCTTATGGGCACAGCTTGCCACAAACCTCCTCAACGAAGTCATTGATGGCGGCGGAGCGCAGGACCTCGTGGACCGGACTCTAGATGAACTCCCCACAGACCTGTACGGATTATATGAATGGACCTTAGGCACCCTCTCACCTAAAGAAATGGCAGATGCTACAACTATTATGCGGTGGGTCATGTTATCGCCGGAGCCGATGATGCTTAATGACCTGCAAATGGCGGTCCGCCTGAGCCGCACCAGTTTTCTACTTTGTTGCGATCCGGAGAGCGCGTTGGATATTGGATTGCCTTGGTCGATGCAAGAACTACAAAAGACGGGCAAGCAATTCGACACGCCGTCACAATTTTACCAATGGCTCTGCTCTCGAACTCGCGGTCTCCTAGAGGCAAGGCCGGTGGATGGCGAGGGTAAAGCACAACAGTCGCTCGGACTCCAGCACGTCTGTCCTATAAATGATTCTGTGCGATCGTTCTTCTTATCGGGCAGGGGCTTCGCTGCACTGTCTTCGGGGCGAGCGACAACTACTCCGCCCGATCACGAGGCAGTCGACCTCTGCCACTATAGCCTATTCCGAACGATCCTAACGTACCTAAACACGTCGGATCTATCGCCATTGGTAAGTGGGCATCGTCTACCGGAAGCGAAACAGAGGGTCTTGTCGCCGGAGACGTCGCCCGTATGGCGAAGGAACGTAGTGGACCAACGCAATCTCATCATGTCGTCATATCCATTCCTGCGATATGCGGTGGATAACTTGCTATACCATTTACTCTCCCCACGGCCTCTACGATATTTCCTCCCGCAGCACGCCATATTCAGGATGTTCACGTCTGATAACTGCCGAATATGGCGGCGTTGGACGGCGCTACTGGGTGAGACGGACGCCTCAGCGATCCTGGCAAAATGCAAATCGGCCGAAGCGCTCTTGCAACCCGAGTTTGGGACATCTTTCAGGTTGGAGCGTGTGTTTCGGGCAGTGAACAAGATGGCGACTGGGGATAGCTGGTTCTCACCTCGAAAGAGCCTAGGGCTTTCAGTATCCCCAGTATTCCCGATACCGCCGAAATCTAGGGCTGGGGTAGAGGCAGAGGTAGAGGCAGAGATAGATGAAGTCGCTCGGCAGAAACCAACAGCCCCAACTCCTCATCTGCTGCCCTTGCCCCCATACGCGATTCGG